TTAACACTAGTCACTCTGACAGTAATTGTCATTTATCGCCTCATACAACTTCTCATATCGCTCTCCCATTTCATTCTTCACAACATTCTGCGCTTTTATCATCTTTATATATAATATATATATATATATATATATAAATTATACAGTCTTCACGAAAAACCTTTTGGGCAAGTATTCTGTGAAATGTACATGCCGGAATGACATTCTAGTTTCCAATATATTTTGCAGGAATATTTTTTGGCATACCGAGTAAAGAAGTGTACACTAGATAACTTCTAGACGCCATTCGTTTCCGGTGTAAACATTTCGTGATTTTAAATTAGAAACCTTTAGTTAACGGCCAATTATATAGTTTATGAGTTTTTAAAGCAAGAGCCCGTCGGCTGGCTAAATTCGAAGACATNTCACATATCTGCTGTACTACTATAGTCTAGTGGAACACTGCCGCATGTCTGCAGCGTGGCTACGATCTTCTCGTCAGCTCTAATCTATCCGATGAAGCTAACCAGTCGCAGCTTGTAGACGCCATGATGGACAACGTCACATCAGACGCGGGCACAGTTAACATCAGCGGCCGGGTATTTACCAGGAGTACATCATGCAGCGACGGAGGAATTCTCTCAGTATGCGATGGTTTGCTATTGATCCGCTGTTCTGGACAATTTAGAACACAGAGCAGCATAATCTAATGTATTGTGTTGAGTCCTAAAAATGATCATTTAACATTACCATTTGCGACAAAGTGGTGTACACCCAGCATAATATATAGAGGTCGTCTATCCACTTTGTTAATTAATTATTACTCGATACACAGTATATATATATATATATATATATATATAAGCTGTGTTACTGTGCCGGGTGTTTTGAGCACTGAGCACACAGTTATAACTTCTAACCGCGAAGGGCTTGCAAAGCCACCAGTAGCGTTTCTATTAGCGCTTCTATATTCGACAAATACGCAACGTGTAAATGGATTTTAATTTCCAGTTTTCGGTTCCCATTTTATTTTTGGTTTCCAGCATACAGCATCTCCCAATGTAAACCTAATAGATGTGACAATGTTTTACAACCTTTGCAATCAATTTTCTTGGACGTCACGCAGCAATTTTGTCTTGGAGATCTCTGAAGGGCTTCACGACCTTGGTGGGTTCCATTGGAAGCTGCTGTTCGCTTACTGCATCGGGTGCCTCATCGTTCTAATATGCATCTGTAAGGGCATCAAATCCACCGGAAAGGTATGATCAGCACCATCGGACAAAGTTAGTAAAATAGAAGATGGCACTGGATGGTTTTGCCATGTGCAGTAACGATATTGAGGTTGTAATTGCATTAGTTATTTACAAAGTCCAACTCAATCCAGCTCATGTTTAGATAAACTATTCATCTTTATTTATACAGGTAGTATATTTTACGGCTACCTTCCCTTACGTGGTTCTCCTTGTACTGCTGGTGAAGGTGTAACCTTGCCGGGAGCTGCCAATGGCATCAAATTGTACCTTTATCCAAAATGGGAGGCACTGCTCGAGTTCAAGGTTCGTCTCTCTAACAACCATGCATAGCTCATCACTAATAATTATTAGAAATTAAAATTACATAATTTTGTGACTCTGATGCTATGTCTTTATTACTGTGCCTCTACATAATTGCGATATATGATATGATCATGAGGAAGATGGTCTGCCTCTATGTTTCAGGTCTGGGGTTTGGCCTTTGCCCAGATATTCTACTCACTTGGACCATGCAGGCTGCGCTGGTATGATTACGATGGCATATCATACAACCGTTTTCACAACAATATGTTATGGTACGAATTACTGCGCAATAATTCTATAAATAAAGCGAGCATATCAACTATAGTGGTTTAAATGGTGTAACAGCGATAATGTTTTTTCTAAATATTGTTTATCCCCTGCAAATTGCAATCAACATCCATATATTATCTACATTTAGAGGCATTTAGATGCTTGTTGCTACTCTAGGGAATCTCTCCTGCTACCAATCGCCAACTGTGCTACCAGTGTCTTGGCAGGCTTCGTCGTCTTCTCTGTTTTGGATATATGGCGGAGGTCGCTCAAGTTGACATTCAAGACATCGTTACCGGTGGTAGGTATATTTGTCTGCATTAATTGAATGTTATATTTACTTTGTATATATAACTGATGTTTAAATTTAGTATAGACGTAGAGGGACTTTACACTGCATAATTATTTATTCAAGCTTTGTTCATTGTATTTTTGTGAAGGGTTGTGCTTGCTGAGTGCAAACGCTCCACTATTTATTATTTTAATTTTAATTTGCAGCTCGATCACGTCTGATTTCTTTTTATATTTTGATTATAAAGAATCAATAGATGAATCCAATAAAACAAGTGTGATAATTGCTCTTTTATGAATTTGTCTATAGGTCCGGGTTTGGCATTTATGGCATACCCTGAAGCGATAACACACCTGGTGATTTCTCCGCTATGGAGTGTTCTCTTCTTCGTCGTGTTGTTCACGGTGTCGCTAGACACTCAGGTTAAACCCCCACTTTTCCTCTTAACCGCATTTTAATTTCAATTTCCAGTGTTTCGTGATAATTATTTATCAAGACAACTATGCAGATGTCTTGTATTACATTTAGAGGGATTTTCTGGTTTGTCTTACCGGTCTTCTCAGATATTGTGTGTGTAAACGCTTTAGCCATGTCAACTCTACAATTTTCAACAAGTTGTATCATTGCCAACAGAAACGATCTTTTCACATTTAGTTTTTATTAATGTACAATATCATACTGTCAGGTCATTATTATTATTATTACATTGTAAAGAATTATCGCATAGTACCAAACCGTCTATAATTTGGGCTAACAGTTTTGGGCGATGTTTTTACAGTTTGTAGCCATGGAAACGGTAATCACTGCCTTTAGAGATATCCTGTCACCAAGGTTTCAGAAACGACAGATACTGCTAACTTTGGTAATCTCCAGTTGATCGTTTCTACTTGGACTGCCATTAGCAACACGAGTACGTGCTACCGATTCTTATCTTTGCGGTCTGTAAGGTGGGGACGATGGCGTATCTGTCAGGCCACTCTGGGGTTTTTCTTGATAATGCATCACCGTCCTGCCTTCACGGTAGGAGCGGAAAATGATCCCGACACAAATACATTACACGTGCTAACCACAGCAGGTGTGAAAGTCTAATGGTGGCCACCCCTAGAGCCATTACACTAGTAAAAAGGTAAGGTAATAGAGTATACATACATTACCGTGTTAACCTATAGATATATACTAGATTCAGCATCGGGAAATAGGCTCGAATAGCGCGCATCATGTTCCCAGTGGTAAGTAATATCGGCATGCAGTCTCAAAATCACGGTTTTCCCACTCATTCGAATTGCTTTCGATAAAGGGTAAAGGGATATGACCACTCTCCCGCTGTCCCACCTCCGCTGTCCCACCTCCGCGCGCTCTCTCTTTCTCTCTCTCTCTTTCTCTCTCTCTCTCTCTCTTTCTCTCTCTCTCTCTCTCTCTCTCTCTCTCTCTCTCTCTCTCTCTCTCTCTCTCTCT